GTTCAGGCCGCCCTGGGCTCGGCGGAAGCGCCCTGTGCCCTGCCTTACCACCGCCGCGCGGCACTGAGGCTGCGGGAGTCCTGGGCCGAGCGTTCTTTCTCTAGCCAGCTGCCTCCCCTTGGCAGGCCAGTTGCGGGCGGGAGCTGCTGGGTTCCTGTGGCCTCTTGGTTGACACTGGTTATCGAGTAACGCAAAGCCTTTCTGGGGCTTGTTTTTGCTTTTCTCACTTTACTTTTAGCCAGCTGCCAGCAGCCTGCATCTGTATTTGAGCAGTTCTGCCTGCAAGGGTACTGCTGCAGGCTTCTTCCAAGCCTCCTGTCTGTGTCCAGGCCTGGAGCCTGGATGGTGGCCAGTGCTTCGGCTTCTTCCTGAGTGCGGGGAGATGATCACAGAGGGTTCTTTTTGTTTGGGGAGTTTACTCAGGAATCAGATAAAGTCTCAAGTATGCAATTAACAATTTTTGTTGTGTGGTATCTTTGATGTTAAAGGAAGTATATTTTCTGCCTACTAACACAGGGTTTTCTTGGGGGGGGGGGGGTTTGTGGGGGTTTTTTTTCCTTTAGTATTTATGATCTAGCATTCAAACCAGATGGGACTCAATTGATAATTGCTGCTGGAAATAGACTGCTGGTAGGGAAACTTTTTTTCTTTTTGCAGTTAGAGCTGTATGAATGATTTCTTTTACATTAACTTATGAATATAACCTATCAAAAATCCTCTTATCTCTACTAGCCCAGCCTCATATCCACATATATTCCTTTAGTATTTATGATCTAGCATTCAAACCAGATGGGACTCAATTGATAATTGCTGCTGGAAATAGACTGCTGGTAGGGAAACTTTTTTTCTTTTTGCAGTTAGAGCTGTATGAATGATTTCTTTTACATTAACTTATGAATATAACCTATCAAAAATCCTCTTATCTCTACTAGCCCAGCCTCATATCCACATATATATTAATGTGTGCTAACTGTAAAGTGTTTTGAAGCTTTTTAGTGTTTCTTACCAAGTTTTAAGCTCTGTTTCCAAAAGTAATGAGATTTTATTTTACTTGCGCCATCTCATCCTCTCGTGCCCACCTGCTGGTTTGAAATCCATTAACCTGCATCCAGACTTGTCACAATGGCATGGTATACAAATACTGCATTGTTAAAAGTTTCATGCAAATCTCTGTGAAAGGGGAAAGAAACTCAAATTGACCACCCCTACTTTGTGAGAAGCTTCAGACAGAGCTTTTTGCAGTTCCTTGGGTCCACTTGCCTGCTGCTAACCCATCAGCAAGAACAGCTCAGTACCATGCTTCTCATGGTTCCTGCAAAGCTTTCAGGTGGGGCAGGGATGGATGGATGGCACAATTACAGAAATGTAGTTCAGAACTGCAGGACAGCAGGCGTTATTATTTTAAGTGCTTTCAGAGTGGTATATTCAGTGATGGCCCTTTCCAGTAATTTATTATGTTTAGACTTCTAATGTAGAGAAAGAAGTAAACAAAGCTGGCCAAATTAGTTGTTGGAAATTTATTTTGTGCATGTAATTTTCTAATACAGAGTCTTCTTTCATTCCAAGAAGTATTATGTTAATGAAAGCCCCTTCTAAATTTTAAAACATTTCATCTTGCTTGGAGTGTATGCTATGTAAAAAACAAACACAAAAGAAGGTGTATGATCATTTTGGACTTCAGTAATTTTATATCCTAGTTTTTACTGGAAGATTTTTTTTTAATGTATGTTTGGTTTTATTTGCATGTTTGTGTTTTGGTTTGTTTTGTTGTGGTTTTTTTTTCCATTTAAATAGGTGTATGATACTTCTGATGGAACCTTAATTCAGCCTTTGAAAGGACATAAGGACACTGTATACTGTGTGGCTTATGCTAAAGATGGTAAATATGACTTTGGGGGGCTTTGTTAGTCTGTTTTATAAAGTGCATAATCTTACATTTCTTACTGCCAATTGATAAATGGAGAAATCAGGGTTGTTTCAGTAACAGTATTTTGAATATGTGTGTGTCGTGTTTTGTTTGTTTTTAATGGAGAGTTTGAGCTGCCATACAAATGCTACCTGCAGAAGTGCTGTATTTTTGCATGTAAACCCACCTGTTAATTCAAGAAATGTAGTCCGCGCTTCCCCTCCCCTTGTATTTCAGTGATGGCTGAGTTTATATTTGTGGGGTGATGTGAGGAGAAGGCTTACCCCAGAGATCCCTCTTTCTAGCACTCTACCTGCCTCTGATTTTTATTCTCACAGTTCCTCTATCCCGAAGCTTCCCGGTCTTTTGGTCCTTCGCACATTACCATGCTCACTACAGACCTTATCCTGCTTCCAGTTCTTTCACTGCCTCCGATTCTCATTCTGTGGGGATTTACTCTTAAGTAGTCAAAGGACTTCCTCTCAAATACTACTGTTTAAGTTACAGGTGATATCTGTGAAAATGTACCATTTTTCCCTTGACATTGTTAACATAAATCTCCAACCTGTGACTGGCAGTATTGGAAAGACTGGCTACTTGCTTGCATTGCTGGGCTTTAATGAGGAGCGCTCGGTGGGAATAACAAAATAAAGTCATTGGAGTTTCACATAGTTGGAGGAACATAGTCACTTTAAGACACTTGCAGTGTTAGGCCCTTTATTACTTAAGCCTTGTCAAGTTCAAGAACTTCTTGCTCTCTCTTTGATTGAGTATTTGGAGTGGAAGTGATTCTGGTATGTGTGGGATTTAAATTATATTTAATTCCTAGGCAAACGTTTTGCATCGGGCTCGGCTGATAAAAGTGTGATAATTTGGACTTCAAAGTTAGAAGGAATTCTGAAATACACGTAAGCGGTACCTTTCAATTCTGTGCCTCTCAAAAATGGACTTTGATTATGCACTTCGGCTGTCAAAGTGTACATGCTGTTAGATTTGGAAGACGGTTGATTAAGATCAGATAAAATGCCAGGGGGTAATAGGAGAGGGAAGAGGAAAAGAACATAGAAGTATCTGAATAAGGCAGGAAAGCAATTAAAGGCATAAAAGAGGGTGGGAAGTCTAGACAAATCTCTGAATTTAGAGGACTTTCAGAGAACTGATGCAAGTCTGTATAGATTGAAATAAAATGAAACAGAATATGACTCTGCTCTTTTATAATACACAAAATTAATATAATTCTGGTTCAAAGACCAAATTAAAGATAAGGTTTGGTACATTCAGTGTATTTCCATCTTGTGGTTTTGTTCTTATGTCATCCCTCTTAAGTGACATCTTCAAATTCTGTTTCTGAATGTGTATACACATTTATTACTAGTTAGTATGCACAAGCTAGTGTACTACTAGGAACATACACAGAATGTGGATATAACCTTTAATCATTTTTCACAAACCACCATCTACGTACATTTTTGATGAAATACAGTGAATCCTGTCACTTAGAGACAATTTTTTAAAGGTTTATTACTGATTTAGTTTACAGTAATTGTAGATTAATTTAATGTAATCTAAACTGATTGAATTATTTCTGGCATCTGGTAAACCTTTTGTCTATCTTGCTGAAAGTCAGGAAAAGAGGCATTTTAGAATGACTTATTGAAATATGATTGTAACTTCATTCTAGGCATAATGACTCTATACAGTGTGTTTCATACAATCCTCTTACTCATCAGTTGGCATCCTGCTCTTCCAGTGATTTTGGTATGTCTTCTTCCTCTAACTTTTCCATTAAGCCAGTAAATTCTGTTAGAATTAATAGAATTAATAGGGTCCTGCACTTTGGTCACAACAACCCC